GAAAACACTGCCAGTCACGTCTGGACCTCTGCGGACAGTAAATCACACTCTCCGCTGAAGCGCTTCCGCACAGCAGCCCTGGCTCCCTCCTCAGCTGGAAATGCAATACGCCACGTACCCCCGGCCCTGGGACCACCCAGGATGCACATGGGGTCACACACACACACACACACACATACTCACATGGAAAAACAAATGTACATGTGCTTGTGCAATCACACACACACCCCCACAATCAAATGTAGATACACACGTATACAAGCCAACGTGTTTGTCCTCGGGATGTGAGGTGGATGGTTTGTGGCGGTAGGAGTGAGGGGGACGAGGAATTTCACAACAAGTGGTGGTTTCGGTGGTTTCTCTCACTGGGATCTGAAAACCACAAAAACTCCCGACTTCCTCTCTGCAAAATATCAAAGGACGCTTGAGCATCTGTGTTCAAAGAGAGACGGACTCCGAGGAAACATGGAAAAATGATTATTAAAAACTAATTTAGGGAGAAATTGGTCGCTAGGAATTGTGGTTTGGGTTCAGCGCTGCAGGCAGAGATATGTTAAGTGATGAAGAGGGGACAATACACGAAGCCTAAGATGCTAATGCTCAGTAATGAACTGTTATTCGTTTCCCGTTTCTGTTTGTTGTTTGAACGCCTGAGTCCATGAGGGAAACCAAACTGCTAAAGGATGGTGAGCGAACATTTCTCGGCTCGCTGCCACGTGCAACTTCATTTTGGTTTCCCAAACGATGTTGGTTTCTGGAAGAGGAACGAGGCAAAGGGTTGCAAAAAGCAACAATGATGTTTCACAACTGCCCCGAGGAGCTCAGGATGTTTTTCTTGGTTTCTGCAGCGTTTTAATGATACAGATTTCATGACCTCATCAGAATCTATAGCAGAGTTTCTAGTCACAGTATCTATCATAGTTTAAACTCATACGTTCAGTGTTAATAAACTTTGAGGCTCTGCAGCAGCTGTGACTGGGACTCATTAATGTCATTGATGTTGTCTATCACAACAACATCCAACAACTGTTCTCTGTGGACTGAGTCCTGCAGCAGCTCTTTATTTGCCGGAGCTCCATTACTGCAGGTCACTGTTACAGTTCCAGAAAGAAAACTGCAACCAGCATCGCCACAGACCGAACAAACAGGCAGGGTTTGATCAGACACTACACTACACATATAAATAACAGTAGAGCAGTGAAGTTTAAGTGGAAACATCCACCACCAGCCCAGACTCTTCATACACACACATTTCAAAGTTCCAGTCTTCACCAAACTTATTTATGAAGATTTCGTCCAGCATCACGAGGCCTCACTAGGTTTCCATCACAGAATTTAAACGCGTGCTCACAAAACCTTTGTGGCTGTGGAACAAAGTGATCAGTCATTCTCAGAGAGGGAGCTCCCTCCGCTCGGGGCCCCAGGCTATTGTCTGCATGCCCACCCTGCAGCGACACCTCTGTTCAAGTAACCAGAAAAACGTCTTTAATAATTCAATATGTGTTTTTACTTATGGGCAGAAAAGTGAGAGAGTAAGACAACATATAACTCAGCCTGTCATGGCCACACGGGACCCACCCCCCCACTATTCAGAACGTCCAGGTTCCTGCACAATGTTTTTCTATTGCAAAGCATTTTAACCTTCTACGTGACAGTAGGACAGTGTTTACTCGCCTGCTTCCTTGCAAACAGCTGCGAGGTCTGCGCCTACGTATCCATGAGCGGCATCTGCCAGCTGTATCAGCTCCTCTGTGGTGGCGCTGCACGGCACGGAACTCAGCTGCTTCTGCAAAATATCTGCACGCTCTGCTGCAGCAGGAACTCCGACCTGCCACAACGAAAAAATATAACATCGTTCCACATTAAAAATAAGTGGCCTCCAGTGGGTAGTAAGAAGAAAATAACAAGTTATCTGTCTACGACATGTCATCCACCACCCTCCTCTGCTCCAGGGCCCGGTCATACCCACCTCCAGCTCCTTGTCAAAGCGTCCTGGCCTCCGCAGGGCAGGGTCGAGGGCATGGGGCCGGTTTGTGGCCCCCAGGACCAACAGCTGACCTGAGTGACCCTCCTGGAAGGAAAGGAAACAGAGCAGAGAAGAGTTGACTCCAGGTGATTTCATCTCATTTAGTGCTACTCTGCTGCTTTTATATATTTTGTGTTAAATCATATAAAGGATAATTCACTTTTCACTGACTGTTTTCAGCTCATTAAACAAATCCAGTCAATTGGATTTATATGAGAGGCTCCAGCAAGTTATCAAACTAAGTAATGTTGCTGGAATCATATCAGGGACAGAGCAGTGCTCTGTTTTTTTTGTCCTCAAACTGATAGAATGAATCACCACGTGTGGCTGCAGGGGGCGCTGTTGTCCAGTAAAAGTTGCTTAGTCTTTCTTTAGGACCATGAATTTATATACAATTTTAAGAAAGAAGGCAAAACACATGTAGATACTTTCCAGTGTGAATAACTGTGGAACACGTAGAATGAGGTGAAGTGAGTGAGCTGTGTTGAGATATAATATGAGCAGCTGTGATTTTACTGTAACTTCACGACCACACATTTGTGATCTTTCATATGTTTAAGAGGTTTAGGATTTTTTTTTTTGAGCCTCACGCTGACGCTGAGCTCGAATCAGTCCCGTCTCTCCGGGGGTGGTCTGCCTGCAAAAAATGTTTCCACCTTTCAGGCAGAAGCTGAAACACAAATAAATTACAGTGCGGGTTTCTTCACATTCCATTACCCAATCAGAGCTGATGACCCTGAATCCTCTGGTCTGGAAAACAGACGACAGCAGCCGGGGAGTCGCTGTATCTGTGTAATATCACCAATCCAAATGAGGCCTTTTGCCAGGGGACACAGATTTGTACTTGGCTGATAAAGTTATGGTAAATTGGCAGGTCATGGCAACCTTGTGTGATTTCTTTCCCAGACTCCCACTGGGCACGTACATGTGCGGGGAGAGGATCATCCTTTTTCTCATCAGACACATTCAAAGAGCGCTCGGTGGACAAACAGCGCCCCAGAGATACAAGCCGCAGTGTCTGAAGGGCGTCCAGCGCACAGAGATGGTTTCTACATGACAATCTGGGTTTCCAGTGAGGACGTTTCCTCACAGAGACACGTTCTGCTGCCAGAGTCATGTGTGTCCCGAACAAGCAGCTGTTGGACAACGTAACACAGACCATCTTCTTCTCGCTGTAAAGAAAACACTGTTGTACGAGAGAACAGGCCAATTCGAGGACACAGTGATGCGGCCGGTATAAAAACTCAACGATTATTTTAACCACCGCCGAGGCCCAACAGCGCCTTTACATTCAATCAAACATCCCCATATTGCAGACTTGATATCACGCCCCTGATTATAACGATCTCATTGTGATCTCAGCATCACACGTGGCCTGTGTATTGTTAAGTATTGTTAAATAATTGTGCACTGTTTCAGGGGTTCAGGCAAGAATGAACAGATTGTCCACAGTTCCATGTGACCTGGTGCTGACACACCGGAGCCTTCAGTTTAACACCTCACAGAATACGTCAGGTGAAGGCTGCAGAATTTCTTTCCAGAGGAAACTTACTGAGCCGATCCCGTCCATCAGAGTCAGGAGAGATGCAACGACTCGTTTCTCCACCTCGTTCTGCGCTCCCTCTCGCTTTGGGCACAAAGCGTCCAGCTCGTCGATGAAGATGATCGCAGGTTGTCTGTCGAAAATCAACGTGAGAAAATAAGATGAATGTGTTGCAATGTTTGTGCACTTGATTTTCATATTATTTAATTTATCACTCAGCTCAACTTGTTATTAGAATCTGCACCAAAATTCATAAATATCTTCCCTTAAATATAAAATTCAACGAAATGAATCTCTGATAACTAACAAACAAGCACCAATGAAAACATTGAATCCTTGACAGAGGTGAAACTAACTAAAAAAAACATTAAAAGAAAACGTTCAGTGTTTTCATGTAGAGGAAAAAGGTTTGAGTGACAGTGATGATAACCTCTGGATCAGAACGTTTACCTCTGAGATGCTTCAGTAAATATCTGCCTCAACCTCGCTTCTGTCTCACCGTAGAATCTGAGAAAACATCCAGAGCATCAATGATAAACACATCTTTAATTCAATGAGCTGTTATTCAACCAACAACATATTCCTCACTTGCTCATGATCTCTGGGCCGTTGATCACCGTCATGTGAGCTCCCACCTCATTGGCTATGGCTCGTCCAATCATAGTCTTCCCCGTGCCTGGGGGGCCATACAGAAGAACTCCTCTGGGGGGCGGGATCCCTGCAGTGAAAACAGAGTGAACTCTCTTCCAGCTTGTGTCTGTAACTCTACATTGTGAAGGGAGCATCGTGGGCATCTGGTGGCCAAATGTTTTAATGTGGACTGATGAATGGCGTTGTGCTACTTGACCCACCGTAGTTCCTGAAGAGCTCAGGGTGTTTGAGAGGAAGCTCGATGGTCTCTCTGATGACATCCATCTGGCTGCTGAGCCCACCAATCATGCTGTATGTGACCCTTGACCTCTTCGCTTCTGCATCTGGATCCTCCCGTCCTGCTCTCTGTCTGAAACTGACTTTAGTGGAGCAGGAGAGCGAGTAGAAGGTGTCAGTGTTCAGCGCACCACCAGGGGGAGCTGTGGGGATTTTCCCTGTCTGCTCTGGTTCCAGTGAGCTCTCCAGACAGACAGCGTTGTCTCCTGACCCTGCAGGAGGATTCTGGGAGTTGTAGGAGGGACTGCAGGGAGCAGGAGGTGAGGAGAAGGAAGAGAGTGGGATGGGTCGGCGTGGGGTGCTGGATGTAGGACCAGGCTCTCCAGGCGTGCCCGGTGCCCCCTTGGCAATGTTATCCTCCACTGTGAGCATGCTGAGCTGCAGGGAGAGGTCGGCTGACGTGGAGTCCAGAACAGAGGTGATCACAGACGACTCCTCAGCGTCCAGACCTGGTTCAGGAGGACGAGCCGGTCTCTGGAGGGTGGCGCCATCCTCTCCTCTGATGGATTCGACCCGGAGACTGCATGAGCGGCCAAAGTAGGAGAGGGAGAGGACATTTCCTGGCAGAACGATGTTCCCAACTGCCACGAGAGAAACAAACAGGAGAGTTGTACCAGCTCAGGAAAGAGACCAAACTAAATCACAGTGCTCTTCTGTTTTTGTGTGGAAAGAACACAGGGTTTCTGCAGGTTTCCATAAGTGCCGTGTGTATCAGAGTGATTGTAGAGTGTTTTATCCACATGTTGTTTTCTAGTTTTATCAAAGCACTCTGATATATGTGTCATGGACAAAGAACTACAACCACAGAGACATTACAAACTATGCATGAAGCGAAAAACATAACTTTAAAGCCCAATGGATGTAGCTCTAATTGAAAATGAATTAAGACCTAAGTAAACATAGTGAAGACCTAGTAGACAATGTTTTTAAGCATGAAAGACAAATTGAGGCCCTGTGGAAAAATGTGCAGGTCGAGGAGAGAAGACAGATATCCACAGATGCTGCAAGAAAACCACAGAACATAAACAAAAAGCAAAACATCAACCTACCCAAAGATCTCAGGAGGAAGTTCTTGAACTCATCGGTCTCTGGTGTGTTGTCTTTGGACCTGAATGAGACCAAAAAGGTACAACATGCACAACGCATGGACTGTTGACTGTAGCTGTCAAATACAGCCAGCAGATGGCAGCATTACCTTAAAAACAATGCTCTGATGAGTCTGTGATTTACTGAAGGAGACAGTTGTGTTTCACTCCCTCTTGTTTCTTTTCACAACATCACATGATCTTTAACAACAACAATTTGTTTTAATAAGACACCTTGGATCTCGGTTGGTTTTGTGAAATTACATGAACACTGAAAGATGTAAAATGATGTGTTGTTGCAACATGAAAAGTTTCTTGTAATTAAAAATGTGTTCATGACAAGAGAGGAATAATGTGACTCTTAAAAAAAACACGCATAATATGGAGCGTGGGCTTTTAGTCAGTGAGAACCAGCTGATCTTTACCTGTTGGTTAAAACCACCTCTTCAGCTTGAAGCACAGCCCCTGTGATCGGCTGCAGCGTCACCGCGTCGCCTGACTTCACTCCCAGGTTCGTCTGAGCACATTTCTGAAGACCAACTTTTCCACCTGGAAACGTTGCGGCGGGCCATCCCACACACACCTGTACAAAACAGAGACATCTTTTTTAATAAAAAGTTTTTTCAGGCGTGAACATTATTCAGGCCGCTTAAAGATCAGGCAGGGTGTAACAGTGATGAGAAGTCAGTGTGGGAGAGCGGAGGGGAGGGGGAGACCTCTTGTTGTCCGGTGGGAGCCGTCAGAAGAACCGGCCTCCCGATGCAAACACCGGTCAACTTCAGTGAATTGAGGCTCAGCTGGGCCAAAGATGATCTGCAGGTTTTGGGTGTTTTGTCATCAGCTGTGAAGAAAAAGTGAAAAAAGTATGAGTTGAAATCAGGAAGTTGAAAAAGTCTCGATGTCACATTATTGTTTCTTTTAAGCTGAAAACGGAGAACGACAAAAAAGAGCAAAACATGTTGCTAATTGGAGTCAGTCAATTAAGAGTTACATCTCCGCAGTGTGTTTGCACAACACAGAGACATTATATGAATTGTTCTGGTGACATTTAAAATAAAAGACAAGGTTGAAATCAATTAAAAACCAAACCCTGTATTCAACTTTTCCCTTTCGCTGCTGTGACACTGTTACTTTTATTTGTATAGACTATATTTACAAATCCCAATCTGCATCATAAGACTCATCGATGTGCAACATCCATCTCATCTCCTCAAACACCATAAAAAAACTAGTTTTGAGCAGTTGACTGGTTTGACACAGTTTTCGTGGCCCAACATTTCCTCTGAGTGTTTCCTTGATGCAGTGGAAACGAAAACAACAACACAAAGAAGAAGACATCGACCGATCTGTCTGATTCAGCTTCACATCAGAGACAAACTATCTGCACCACGTCGGGAGTTTTCTTATAAAAGAGTCAGACTCGCACCTTTGTCAATGAAATCGATGACAGTGAAGCTGCTCGTGCAGCTTCCTGTCTCGTGTCCCGGTGTCTGCAGGCTGGACGAGTCGCTCGAGCTCAGGGGACAAGAGCTGTCTCCTTCACCCGTCTTCTTCGATTTGCTCTTGTTTTTCTTTGAGGACATTTTCACGGTGAAAGTCTCCACGTGAGATCGAGAACATGTGTAAACACGAAGCGGCGCACACCACTTCCTGGTTACACCGAGGCCCCGCCCCCCATGGTTTACCGTAAACACCCTGCGACGTTGCATGAAAATCTCCTGAAGGCAGATTTAATTTTCATGATTTAAAAACAAACAAACGATTAAGAAAAGTTAAGTATTAATCAGTAAATAATCAAAATAAATGTTTAATTTCCAGTGAAAACTGGTGTAATTCTACACATGCACTGTTTCCACCAGGCAGCAACACACACAAAAACCAAAGGTATGAAAAATATAAATAAGACACTATTC